TGCATCTGCAATTTGCTGCATATCTTGGCGTTGTTTGTGTTTCTTTTTCTTTGTTGCTGCTCCGTCTCCTGCTGCTGCTGCTGCTGCTGCTGCTGCTGCTGCTCGTGTGTGGGGCCAAGCAGCAGCAGCAGCTTTCTGCTGCTGCTGCTGCAGCCACCGCCGCAGCAGCAAACTCTGTGCTGCACCCCACTCCGTATACATCAGATCGAGAGAACCCAAGTCGCCGTGTGTAGTCAACAAAAAAAACCTAAACCACAAACCCTAAACCCTAAACCCTAAACCCTAAACCCTAAGCAAAAAAAAAAAATATTTATTTTAAGCATAAACGACAAACCCTACATAAACCCTAAACCACAAACCCTAAACACTAAACCACAAACCCTATAAACCCTAAACCACAAACCCTAAACCCTAAGCCAGAAGCCATAAATACTAAACCCTAAACCCTAAACCCTAAACCCTAAAGAGCTCATGATTGCATGCATTGACGGTTGAGAAAGCCTAACGCCGGAGGTTTAGGGTTTAGGGTTTAGGGTTTAGGGTTTACCTTTTGGCTATCCTTTGAGCTGCTGCACAAGCACAGAAGAAGTCATCGAGGCGCAGCCCCAAATGCAATGTATTTGCTGCTGCTGCTGCTGCTGCTGTTTGCTGCTGCTGCTGCTGCTGCTGCTGCTGCTGCTGCTGCTGTGCTGCAGTTGCTGCAGCATCCTGGTGCAGCAGCAGCAGCAACGGCCGCAGCAGCGCAGCAAAACACTTCGCCATCAGAGCGGTTAAGCTGCTGCAGCGGAAGGGAGAAACCCCACTAAAATCACAAACAGCAGCAGCAGCAGCAGCAGCAGGAGCAGCAGCAGCAGCAGCATCTGTGTCTGCTGCTGCTGCTGCTGCGTCTCCAGCAGCAGTAGCAGCAGCAGCAGCAGCACCCCGCAGCGACACCAGCTGCAGCCGGCTAGGCCCTATTGCCTGCAGCAGCAGCTTCTCCCCCTCAAACCCAACAGCAACAGCAGCAGCACCACGAGCTGTTAGTCTCTGTGCTGCAGCAAGACAGTCAGCAGCAGCAGCAGGCAATGTTTCCCTCTCCTGGCATCCAACAGCAGCAGCAGCAGCAGGAGCAGCAGCAGCAGCAGCAGCAGCAACACGAGCAGGAGCATCTGCTCCAGACTCGTCTGCTGCTGAACTCAACCCTGTTGCTGCTGCTGCTGCTGCTGCTGCTGCTGCTGCTGCTGCTTCTGCTTCTGATGGCCCCCCTGCCTCGGCGGGTGCTGACGTTGCGGCAGCAGCAGCTGCTGCTGCTGCAGCAGCAGCAGCAGCTGCTGCTGCTGCTGCTGCTGCAGTATGTTTTGTCTGAGAAGCAAAACTCGCAATGACCGCCAAGTTATCCTGCGGGGGCCCTTTGTAAGCAGCAGCAGCAGCAGCAGGGTTTGCTGCTGCTGCTGCTGCTGCTGCTGCAACAGCAGCAGCAATGTGCTGCCGAACAAAGAGGGGGCCGCAGCTCTCCGCCCACCTGTTAGCCATCTGCTGCAGCAGCCGCTGCTTGATGTTTGCTGCTGCTGCTGCATGCGCTGCATGCAGCCCCAAAACCAGTTGTTTATCTATGAATAAACCCCCAAGACACCACCCTGCTGCTGCTGCTGCTGCTGCTGTTCTCGTTGCTGCTGCTGCTGCACCCCTTGCATGTGCTGCAAAACCCACCGCACCGCACCCCCTGCTGCTGCTGCTGCTGCTGCTGCTGCTGCTGCTGCGCTTGAGGTGTTGCTGCAGCAGCAACTCATCCGATCGCATGCGCCTGAGGATGCTTAGGGCCTCCTGGCGAGGCAGCAGAGACTCGCGGCAGCTGCTGCATAAACCTACTGCTGCTGCTGCTGCTGCTGCTGTTGTTGCTGCTGCTGCTGCTGCTGCTGTTTCTGTACTTGCTTCTGCTGCGGGTTCTCTTCGTTCTGCTGCTGCTGCTGCTGTTGCTGCTGGAGTTGCTTCTTCTACTGGTTCTCCTGCTGCTGCAGGTTCAGATGCTGGTCCTGCTGCTGCTGCTGCTGCTCCTGCTGCTGCTGCTGCTCCTGCTGCTGCTGTTGCTGCTGCTGCTGCGGCTGCGCCGCTTTCTTTGGGGCTCCGAATCCTCTTGCCGCATGCGTCGCAGTACTTGAGGTGTACAGACACCCAAAAGACTTGCTGCCAGGCAGCAGCAACAGACAGAGGATGTGCTGTTGTCTCTACTGCTGCTGCTGTTGCTGCTGTTGCTGCTGTTGCTGCTGCTGCTGCTGCTGCTGTATCTGCATCAACAACTGCTGCTGCATCCGTGCCAGCAGCTTCTGATATGGCTGCAGCAACACTTGGGGCTGCCGTCTGTTGCTGCTGCTGCTGCTGCTGTTGCTGCTGCTGCTGCTGCTGCTGCTGCTGCTGCAGTGCTGCAGCAAACCTGTTGAGCGCCTTCGAAGCAGAAAGACGCTTCATACAGATTCCCCTGTATGCTACAGCAGACAGTGCCGCTGCTGCTGTTTTTGCTGCTGCTGCTTCTGTTGCTGCTGCTGCTGCTGCTGCTGAGGTGCAGCAGCAGCAACCAACTGCAACAAGAAGGGCTCGTACATCCGCAGCAGATGGCAGCAGAGACACGATTGCTGCTGCAAGAGACGGGCACAGCAGCAGCTGCTGCAGTGAACTCACTGCTGCACGGTGGCGCTGCTGCTGCTGCTGCTGCTGCTGTTGCTGTTGCTGCTGCTGCTGCTGCTCTGCTGCAGCAACCGCGAGGCACTCTTCGCTGTCGCTGCCGCTAAGGATGCAGACATCTGAATTGCTGCAGTCACTAACATTGCCATTACCTCCGTTGCTGCTGCTGCTGCTGATACTGCAGCAGCTCACTTCCCCCTCCGATTCTTGCTGCTGCTGCTGCTGCTGCTGCTGCTGCTGCTGCAGCTGCTGTCGTCGCTTATTGAGGCAGCGGGAGGCCCTTTTAGGACTCCCCACACCCACCCCTATTATATCAACATCGGAATCAGCGCTGTTGCTGCTGTTGCTGCTGCAGTTGCTGCTACGCCTTTGTCTGCTGCTGCAGCAGCTGGGGGGCCCCCCTGTCTGTGCCATGGCTATAAGAAACGCGGGGCCCCTCTGGGGCCCCTACAAGCATTTTGAATTGAATTTAAGTTGCTA